ATTTATTTGTCCCAAATCATTTTGAAGTTTTTGTAAAACAATACAACAAAGACTTTGTAACGATCTCTCTGATACCATTCTGTGGCAGAACCTCCTAAATTATAGGACCCACATGCACTTGTCACTGTCCAATGACCTTTGACAACTATGCATATGTTCCTGGTAACTTAAGAAGTCTGCCGGGTGTCCTTGGGGAACCCCGAATCATCCACGATTTCTGAGCAGGATCACATTACAGAGTCATTGCAGTATTACAACATTTATTTAAATATATACATCAGAGTAAAATAGAGGAAGTCTTACGATAACTTAGTTTACGAACCAGTTGTTTCAAACCTTACAAACTAAGTTCGATAATTATTACAAACTATAGTAGTAGTGGAGTGGCATAATTAACATAAGCATAACACACAAAATAAACATCCTGCCCAAGGATCACACATTCACTTATCGTCATCGACCTGAACCACAGTCATGCAGCAAGGTCCACAACAGACCTGCTCATGAGGCTCACCTGCAACAAGGGTCAACGAACCCTGAGTATAAAAGTACTCAGCAAGACTTAACCGAAATAAAAACTGAGAAGACTCAGGAATGCAGGCTCAGGGATTCAAGGTATGGCTTTAGCAATAATCAAAGCTCTTTTGCGTAAAAGCTCTTTACAAAATTCTTTACTTTCAACATTTAAAACTTTATAAGTACCACATATGAATCTGCCATGATCTGTAATGAGATCATGAACTTCATATCAATCTCTTTCTCAAACCTTACTCAAGTTCCAGTTATTAAACTACGATGATGAACAGTGAGTTGAGTCTCCATAACCGAGGAGCAACGACGATTCGAACCGATTATAAACCCAGCTGGGGATTCCAGACCACACGACATATGCAGGTCCCCGACTTACATATATCAACCTACACTCAGATCCTCTAAAACAAGAACGGGTCCGCGCTACCTGAGAATACAGTACTCCACCATTCCAGCCCATGGCCACGTGGGTACACGCTACTCTCGCCATCTCTCCACTCCCAGTGCGCGAGTAGCCATTCTCGTAATAGAATAGCCGAGTTAAGGCTTACCGGAGTATGTGGTTAGTACTACAAAGTCTCACCTCATGCAATTCAACAATGGACGGACCTTAATCGACACAGGCGGAAAGAAGCCGCTCACAAGACCTCCACGTCTTGTGGCTCTCACACACCAAATCCGCCCGGTCTAGATTTATTACTTTCCATGCTCATGTCTCATGATAACATAAGTAATCAAAGTTCCATTTAAAACTTACAGGTGACAGGTAATCACCCGACTTTCATCGTTCTAAGCATAGCTAAGCATAACTAGGCATATACGAATTAAACAGGTAATCAAGGTAGATATAGAAAAATAAGGTTGGTGATGCACCAATTAGGTTTCCACTTGACTCCTAATCACTTAATGTAGTATATAAAAGCAAAAGCGATAAAATTTGTAAAACACAAGGTAGGGTTAAATGCATCCGGGGCTTGCCTTCGTTGACGGAAAAGTTAGGTTCCTACGACGTTCCACAATTATCCGATCCGATCTCAACAGACGGATTAAGCTCCTCCGCAACTTGATTAACTACCACGTGTTCACCTTCGTTCACTACACGTAGTAACAATGCCATGTTTAACATGATGCGGAATACGAAACATGATGCTTGAAGATGGATGCAAAATTAACAATTCGAATACAACTTTCCTTCGCGGTATAGTTGCAAGTCAAACGAACTAAATCTTTTTCGTAACACAATCATCAATTGCCAAGGATCATTATCAATTAATGACCCAAGGTCATCACTCAATCCAAAATTTCAAACAAAACCTAAATCATTAAAGGTTACTATTGCTTTTATAAATTAATTATTTAATTCAAAATTATGAAATAAATCAACTTATTCCAATTGAGCTCAAAATTTTTGTACATGTTCATCTCATGATAACTAAGTGGCAAAACAATTTTCATAATTTTTGGATAAATAAATAAGCCTAGAAAATTCATGGAAATTCATTTATTAATTAATTGAGCAATTTTTATCACATTCAAAATGTACTGAAAAACAACATTTCATATTTTTCCTAAATAGTATTCATAACAGAGAGGTCACACAAAAATTTTCATAATTTTTGGAGCTCTAAATAAATCTACACAAAAATAACAAATTGCATCACTATTCATTCAAATATGAAAACAGAAAATTCATTTTGAACTACACAGTCGCTGACAACGGACCCCACTTGTCATCTTCAACCTCCAGCTTTGACCACGACGGCGACGGCGCTGACCGACGCTAACTCGCCGACGGTGAGACCAACGGCGACGGCCAAAGTACCAAAACACTCACCAAGATTAGGCGCATCGATTTGTGGCACTACGAAGACTAATTACGACACGATACAAGGCTGACGCCGGCCATGGCGGATGCGACAGCACGGCGGCGCTACGCCGGCGACAGGAGACCAGTAACAGTTAAACAAAGGGTACAGGAAGCATTAGTAGCTCACCCCGAACACGTTGAAGGCGATGGACGAGCCGGAGAAATAATGGAGAGGCGGGCCAACGGTCACCGCGGCCATGGCGGCGCTAGCAACGGCGACGGCGAGGCTCTAGTGGCTACGGTGGACAAAAAGGGTCAAACAACCGAGCACACAGCACCACGGCAACATGGTGAAGCTGACGGCATGCCAAGCACGAGCAGAGACAGACCGTGGAGCCCTGGCCATGGCGAAGCATGCTCGACGGAGACGTTGCCGGCCGCGAGGAAGAAAGGCGGCTAGCGACGATTCCCGGCGAAATCAAGCGACACAAGCTGACTGGATGGATGCGCAAAAAGGAGACGGAGCTGGAACTGGCTTAGCTACGACGGTGGAGCACTACAGCGATGGTGCGAGCTCGCCGGAGATGAGCAAGGGCTACGGGAAAAGCAGAGTAACGAAAGGAAGGTCGGCGACGGCGTCTGAGCTTTATAGAGCGGCCAAGGGATCAAGGAGACGACACGCAGTGGCCTTCACTGCGCCAGCGCGAAGCCAAGAGCGGCCACAGGCACATCTGGAAGACCGGAGAAGGACGCCGGTGGTGGGGCTGTGGTCGTGACACTGTTCCACATAATTATAGAATTGACATCCGTTTTAAAATTCAAATTACTCCCAAATATGTATAACAACTCAAAAATCTCCAAAAATAAAAGTTGCTCAAAATCTAAAGTTCTACAACTTTTCTTTTATAACCACCCCCAAATTCGGTCTACATTTTGAAATAAACTTTTGAATTCAAATAGGGGACATTTGAGGAATTACGCCTTTTCAAATTACTTCAAATTTTTCATAACAACTTTGAAAACTCCAAAAACAAACTTTGTATAACTTGACAAGCTCTACACTTTTGCTTTAAGGCTCAACCCCAAAATGTGCTTAGATTTTGAAATGAGTTTTCAGGGTAAGATTTAAATACTGAAAATCAGGGTTTTCTTGAAAATTCAAATCCAAACCAAATTTTGAACTTGATTCAAACAATACAATTCAACACATACCACATAAAGGTAAACTTGTTTTAGTGTATGCATATCAAAATTTTCACTAAATGCCAAATGCTTTGCAATGCATATGATGACATGACAGTTTTTAGTATTTAAACACCCGAGGTGTTACAACTCTCCCTTGCAGGTGGTTTATTTTGTAATCCATTGGCTGTGTACATGGATTATCCTGCAAAAGCCTTACGCAGAGGCTTTGGTGCAGAAGGCATTGCAACAATTGATGCAAGCGGTTATGGTGTTTTTCTCCCAGGCACATAGGTGGCGATCTAGCTAGTCTTAGAATTGATTGTCACTAGAGTGTCAGGTTTCTTTCTCTTAGGCTTTGTGTTTAGGTAGAAGCTGGAAGTGAATTCACTTTTATTGTATCAACTCGATATAATGACTATGAATTGATAAAATCCTTCATTTATCAGAAAAAAGATGTCAGGTCATTTTCTGTAATCTTCACCAAAGTGAGACAAGTTTGATTTAGAATAGAACAAAAATAACGTGGGTACATATGTTAAAACGGATGGAATAGAATAATTAGCTACTAATGCTTATTGGATTGTGGCGTGCAATTCGGTCGAGAGATCTATCTTCTACAAACAATTAATTAAAAGCAAACCAAAAGACTTGACTTGATGACATGGTATGGTGTCGTTATGCAGAGGTAGGGCATCCTACGCTCATGTATATATAAGTAGTATTAGTTAGGACTAGATAATATTTGCCGATCAGAGGAATCTTTGGGGAAATTAATTAAACCGGGCGCTGAGCCCCTGACTGCCTCGATCAGATACCTCCCCTCCTTGTGGTCACATGTAATCACGTGTGAAGCAACAAACAAACACATACACACATGCAAGTTGGACACATGGGATGTAAGTAATTTAAACGCAGCACAAGACCGGAAGCACGCAACGAAGCATCCTTACTGCAAGTCATCTTCAGGTTAAAAAAACAGTTGGTGTGTGTACCCTATTGGCAGGCTGATAATATATAACAACCTGCTACAATTATTGTATGCCTCCATCTTGCTTTTCACTCGTCCCAAACGAGTCCTACCAGCTCCCTTTTGTGCAGTACTGTGTTGCACTATTATATTGTATCCCAATCTTCTCCAATGCAAAGGACTGGTATACAAATAAAGCAAACAAAAAAATATTGCGACTGAAGAGGTGGTTGTTTGAGAAACCGCGTCGTTATATAGATCAGGGTTTGCATTAATTGTGCAGTTCTATGAAACCCTGAGCTTTGCAGATCCAGGAAATCCTCTTGTCCTTCACTTGCAGATCCATAGTTTCACACCGTCGCCTCCCGTCCCATCCTCTTCCTCTGAATCTCGCTGCTGGAACCACGCCCACGCAGGCACGCACTCAGTGGTGCCAGTGCTACAAACACCTGCCCTCCCTCCGCAATTGTTTTCAACAAAGCTTGCACTTCGACCGCCCCGCGCTCCGGCATGCCGTCACTACAGTACCTGCCACTTTTCATCTCCCACAAGGTTTTCTTGTGGTCTTCAGTTTGAAGGAAAACTTGGCCGGACAGCAACAGTCCTGTCATTCTTGATCTCTCTCCTGCCGGCTGCGTACGCCGTAGGGTATGAATCACACGCTCTTCCATCTTGTTCTTGATTCGGTTTGCACTCCAAAGAAAACTGCACAGTGTAAAATAAGTGGAGTTTGTGCTCTATTCAATGAATCTGGGCACACCGAAGGAAACAAAACGTGGAGCTACATGTCGTCCACATCGATTACTAGAATCGTCACTCGTCATTGATAAATAGAAAACTCTAAATATGTTGCTTTCGTTGATTTCTTTCAGGATTGGAAATAAGACTACACAAGCACTGCCAAAGGAAGGAAAGGCAAGGTCATTGATGGAGGCTGCCGTGGTGACTGCATCACACGGCGCTATGGGCTCCTTGATAGCGAAGCTTGGTGATTTGCTCGCAGCTGAGTACAAGCTGCTCAAAGGAGCTAAGGGACAGATCTTGTTCCTCAAAGCTGAGCTTGAGAGCATGCATGTCTTCCTCAAGAAGATCTCAGATACTGAGCAGCCTGATGAGCAAGACAAGTGTTGGGCCAAGGAGGTACGTGAGCTGTCCTATGATATTGAGGACAGTGTCAGTGAGTTCATGCTCCGTGTGGAACACAAGTCAAGCTGCAAGCCACGCGGATTCATGGGTTTCATAAATAGGAGCACAAAGTTGTTGACGACCATGAACATTCGGCATGACATTGCCAAAGAGTTTGAAGGCCTCAAGGTCCGTGTCGTCGAGGTCAGGGAGCGACGCATGAGGTACCAGCAGACTAATGATGTTGCCCCTAGGACAACCAACACAACCATTGATCTTCGGTTGTTAGCAATGTATGCAGAGGCATCTGGCCTTGTGGGCATGGATGGCCCCACAGATGAACTGATTCAGTTGATGGGTGGAGGGGATGAGCTAAAGGTGCTCTCTATAGTTGGATTTGGAGGCCTAGGAAAAACTACGCTTGCAAATGAGATTTATTGCAAGCTTCAGGGGGAGTTCCAGTGTCGAGCCTTCGTGTCTGTGTCCCAAAAACCAAACATTAGGAAGCTTCTGAGAACCATGCTATCTCAAGTTGGCTTTGTAGCTCCTATGGACACCAACATGGAAATTTGGGAAGAGACAGAATTCATTAGTGCGCTACGAAAATTCCTTCTAAAACAGAGGTATGCCTGCGTTGAAATAATTTTATGCTTAGTATGGTTTATTGTGTTTTAGTTTTTTTTTAATAAGGGAACAAAGTTATAGCCTCTACCTATCCGTGTTTTAGTTTGTTCTATTTAGATGTCATTCTTCTTGAGCATGCTACTATTCTGTAGTCAACAAGTCAACATGCTAATCTGTCCATATTTTTTCTTTTCACCTCGTTTCCGTAGGATTGACTAGTTGAAGTGAGTCCCTCCTGTATCCTTAGATCCAGGTTTATATGTTTCTGTAGTACAACTAATTAACACTCTAATTAATAGGATTATATGTTTAATACTTTTGCACTTTATTAGAATCATCAAAGTTGTTATACATATAAACCAAATAAACCATACAAACAAAGTATTACAGTTCTTATAAGAATTTTGATGCTGCATTTCATATCTATTCTCGAAGTACTGTTCCTCAAATTACCATTTTAGTTCTCACCAGCATCTATAGGCTAGTAAGACTATGTGTTAAGAAATAGTTACTTTAAAAAACAGAAGGCATCATAACTTTTCAACCGGAACCCTTATCAACATAACCACTTTTGAAGTTTTTCGACTGAGTTCTTGTTTTTGTTGTGGTTATTCTAGCCTCTAGCTATGATGCTTTCACGTTTTCATGAACACTGTCCTAAAGGTCGCTACACGCGGTATGCATTTACATGTCAGGTACCTAATTGTAATTGATGACATCTGGGAGGCTCCTGCATGGGATATTATTAGATGTGCTCTTCCAGAGAACATTAATGGCAGCAGAGTATTAATAACTACACGAATTGAGACTGTGGCCAGAGCTTGCTGTGCTAAGAACATTGAATGTGTTTACAAGATGAAGGCCCTTAGTGACCAAGACTCACGAAGCTTATTCTTCAAAAGAATTTTTGGTGCAGAGGAAGCTTGCCCTCCATATTTGATGGAAGTGTCTGCTCAAATTTTAAAAAAATGTGGTGGTTTGCCACTTGCAATTATCACAACATCTAGCCTAATAGCAAGCCAACCAAGCAAACTAAAGGAGCACTGGGAACATGTAAGGGACTCTCTGGGCTCCAGCTTTGAAGTGAGCCCAAGCTTGGATGGCATGAGACAAATATTAAACCTCAGCTACATAAACCTTCCTCATTATTTGAAGACTTGTATGCTATATCTCAGCATTTATCCAGAGGACTACACAATCAATAAGAATGATTTGGTTAGACAGTGGGTAAGTGAAGGTTTTATATGTGAAGGTCGTGGGACAGATCCAGAGGATATTGCAAAGAGCTATTTTAATGAGCTTATCAATAGGAGTTTGATTCAGCCCGTACATACAAACTACAATGGTGAGGTGATGTCTTGCAGGGTTCATGACATGATGCTTGATCTTATCCTATATAAATCCAGAGAAGACAATTTTATCACTGTAATGGATGATATACAAGATTTGACAAGACAGCCTGCAAAGATCCGTCGACTCTCACTCAGTTTGGATGGTGCAATAGATGAAACAGTAGGAAGATCCTTCCAGCTATCCCAAACACGAATGCTAGCAAGATTTGGTACCTCTTTATATCTACCTCCTATTTTACAGTTCAAGCATCTCCGAGTTTTGACGATTGAAATTTCAAGTGGGCCCTATTCATCTGAGTCACTTGACTTGAATGGAATATGTCATTTGTTTCAACTGGGATTCTTAAAGATCAAAGCAAGTGGTCGTCATGTGGTGTTACCTAGTAAAATTGGACGTCTGCAGCAACTGAAAACATTTGAAATAGATGTTGGACAATCAGAACTGCAGCTACCATCAGATATTGTTCATTTGAGCCGTTTATGGCATCTAATTGTTCCAGTCAAAGTAATATTTCCTAGTGGGATCAGTAACATGAAATCATTGCGTACTCTACATTTTTTTCATTTGAGAAACTCACTAGACAATATCAAGGGTCTGAGAGAACTGACAAATCTGACAAATGTTCAAATCGGATATTTTGACTACAAATCCACCAATATAGACGAGTTTGCTGCAAAATGTAGGGAACTTGTGCACGCCCTTGGAAACATTTGCAGCCTCAAATGTCTACTTATTCATAGTTATTACCTATCTGTCACTCTCAGAGCCTGCTTAGATTCATGGTGTTCAGTCCCAACTTCTTTCATTCATCTCCAGAGCTTTCATGCAAAGTACTATCCCTGGTTCTCGAGGATTCCTGGGTGGATTGGCCAGCACCATAGCCTCTATGACCTGCAGCTTAGTGTTCAGGATGTGTATGGGGATGACGTTGGGATTCTCTCACAGTTGCCCTCCCTTGTCCGCCTCCACTTGCACATCCATGGAGTTCCTAAAGACAAGATCATCATCCGTGGAAGAGGATTCCCTGTTCTCAAGCATTTTACAGTTGGATGTTTCAGGATATCGTACCTGGCCTTTGAGGCAGGGGCGATGCCGAAGCTTGAAAGGCTCGAGCTATGTTTCAATGCACAGGGATGGGACAGGTATGGTGGTGTGCCTGCTGGCATCGAGTACCTATCAGGCCTCAAGGAAGTCATCGGAGACATCGGGGGCCGATGTGTAAAGGGATCCAATAGAAGGGCTGCAGAGTCTGCGCTCAGGGACGTGGCTGGCCTGCACCCAGGTCACCCTGTATCCAACATCAAAGTGTCGGACGGGGGGCGTTATCTATTTGATGGCAACGATGATGAGCCCCGGGAACAAGAGGACGGGAATAGTAGCAGTGCCTAGGCCAGGTACAGACTACAGAGTCTTTTTACCTTATGTTTGCGCCAGCTGTTATACATATATCATATTTAATTAATATTATTACTTCGGTACGTCATATTTAATTAATTAGTATTGTTTCCTAGCTACCCCTGTTTTATTTTGTGTATACTCTCTTACCATGTTAATAACTAACGTCAATATTAGTGGGCAGGACTTGTGCGGCAAGAGCCACTCATACCCACACGGGTGGTGTCGATGTTGAAGCATCTTTGCAGTCTCTCTGCGTTCATCAGCTAGCACCACCGTCTCCAGCATATGGTTACGACATGGATCCAGCTGCAGAGCAGGCTGTTGTCTCGAGAATTATTACTACTATTTTTACTTCAGACTTGATAATATGTGTAGATGCATGCTGATTGCTGTTGGTTCTGATGAATCTGCAGCATCGCTTGTGGTAGTATGGTTTGGGGCTTTGGACTTGTTGAGTTACTATTTGGGGACTGGGGACCAGCTGCTGCTTGCCTTACTGGCTCAATTTGTTGTAATAAGTAACACGGATGCTGAACGTGCCGATCATTTCTTTATGCAAAAGTTATATATACTCTAAATTCATTAAATCCACTTGCTATTGGATTTTTTGTCCAGCAGAATTTGGTCCTACTATATATGCTTGAGTTGTTGACTGTTCTCTCAATCCTTGTATTGTGGGGTTTTCCATCAACAAACAACATACTGCTTTTTGAACATGTGATTTGTTTTGGAGCCGGGATGAATTAGCACAGTGTTATTCACATATACTTGCTCGAGGCTTCTGCTGAGGCTCTAACAGAGCCATTTGTTTCCATGGATCCGAAGTTCAGTTGGGCTTGTGTTTTTCTCTTTTCTATCTACAACAATTCACTGAACTTGTTCAAAAAATAATACTAATAGACAGAAATTTAACCAGGCTTAACATGTTTTGTAAATAGACTAAATGAAACAAGTGTACTCTGTTTCCGGTCAATATATTTTAACTGACTGCCCTCTCGCATTTGGAATCGAATGCTCGAAGTCATCCGGCTGGATCTAGTGGGCCTAGCTTCTGCCACTTCCCTTCAGGGAAAAAAAAAGATCTGGTGGGCCTGCACGTAATGCTGGGCTGCTGGCCCTGCCTGATTTTGGCCTAGGCTGTCCATTTTTCGGGCCGTGCTGGGCTTTCTAGTCATTCCGTCGTCGCTCTCGGAGGAGGAAGAGGGAGGAGTGACGCCGCCGCGCACTCACCGGCCGACCACCGCCACCGCCGTCTCTGGCTCCTCTTCCTCCTTGCCGTGCCCCGCTGCATCCTCTCGGTCCCTGCTTGCCGCCTTCCCGCCCCTGGCGTCGTCGGTAAGCACTCGCTTGCAGCTAGCAGCCGGGTTGGTAACTACTCCTCATACATGTGTCCTACTGAAATTTGAGAGATTCTCTACATATCAAATATATTTTTTTTATGTGGATGCATCAAGTCGAGCGAACTAATTAACCGAGTAACTAGCAGGAGTTGTTAGGTGCAGAGTCTAAACGTTATGTTCGTCAGTTTCTACTCGGTTACGCGTACACATGCAAGACATTTCATGGCTCGCTTACATAATCTTAATTATTAAATCCGCTCCTGCTAGCTTCGGAGCTTTATTAATATAGTGGCTTCGTTTGTACGATTACCTTGTAAATCACCATCATAAGCATTAGTTGGCATGATTAAGAGTTCTCTGCATTCGACTGGCACAAAATGAAAATGCTGATTGTGGCCGACCAGACAGCACGACATTGCACTTTACGAATACCAATACAATTGATTGATGTTCACATGGACCTGACAGTTTTGTTTATGGTTGCATTGGTATTGCGTAAAGGGCGTCCCCCTGTTCTCCATTAGTGGAACTTTAGGATTAGAATATAGTATTGGTAGAATTAATAAGTTCAATCTGTAAGGGCTGCGGCCCATTGGTCAGCCATGAAAAGATGTTGGAAAGAAAAGAAGGGTCAGATTCTGTGTGTGATGACTGATGACCATATCAATGCTAATGGGAGTAATATCTTTGTGCATTCCAACTCATCTTCACACACTCTCTTCCTCCTCTCATTCTTCCTGTCCTTGTCCACTGTTCCATGCTTTAACATGATCAACCAAAAAAATTGGTTCCACCACGACCACAAATCTACTGGGCGCTGCCTTGCTGGAGCAAGCCACCGTTACGTTGCTGCACTGTTGGGAGGCTGTGCCATAAAGCCTGCCACCTTGCTAGAAAATCAAACCAATAAAGTTGATATTCATATAGACCTCTATCTTTGTTTATGTTTATATCAGTAATAGTGTGGAGAGACCATCCCCTATAATACGGACCTCCATCTTATTTTTTTCTCGAATACGCAAGATATTTGGGTATCATTGTATTAAGAAGAAGATTTTAAACATACAGACAACGCGTCTCTATCGAGCGCCGAAGGAGGTCGACCTAAAAACAGTCGTAGCTGGACCATCCTAGCGAAAGGTCTCTAGTTTAGATGTTACATAAATAAAAAACAACCAAATCCGACGCAGCGGTGCGACCTAGAAGGTGGCATTGCGTCTTCGCGGCTGCCTGGACGAGCCTTTTCCACCGTCCGGGAAGAGTGCGTCCAGCGTGTAAGGACCGTGACGTCTAAGAGGGTGGTGAATTAGGCAACTTAAATTCTACTTCTAATTATGGCCTCTAATTCCACCTAGTCAAAACCTATGCAAGAAAGTAATCTATCTAAATGTGCAACTAAGGTTTTGCTAGGTGTGTTGCTGTCTCTACTGTAAAAGAGTTATGCAACCTAGGTTCCAACCTTATCAACTAGCCTATCAACTAAGCTAGGAATGGTAAAGCACATAACCAACAGCCTGTTCGGGAGGCCGTATCGTATCGTGGATTATTTACTGCTAGCTGGTTTGGTATGAGAGAAAAATAATGTTCCCGGTTGGAAATTTACAATCGTTTACGAGCAAGCGAACAGGCTGCAAGATTACAATAAAAATGCAGAAGCTAAAAATGAGGTAGAGATGCAAACTCCCAACAATGACTCTGGTATTTTTACCGAGGTATCGAGAAGCACGCAAGCTTCCCCCTAATCCCCATTGGAGCCCCTCGCAAGGAATCCCTCACAAGGGCTAAGCTCCCGGTCGGGTAACTCCGTGGATAGCCCCGCGCCTTCCCCACGCACAAGTGGGTCTCTGGTGTACCTCTCTCGGACCGCTCCCCGCCGTCTTCGCTATCAAGCTTTCAGCCGAAACGCCACGGGCCTTGTTCCCTCCATACATGGTGGCGGCCACACCACAAACACGATTGGTATGGTCTCGCAAGACTTACAAGCCCTGCCGAGTACAAGCACAGTGGGCGTAAGAACCTTTGGTCAAGAGGTATGCAAACCTCACTAGCAACTAGACCTAAGCCTAGAGCAAGCGTATATGAGCGTGGTCTAACTAAACTAAGCACTTCGCAAAGCACCTACGCTAATCACCGGGGATCAGACACTGCATATCTGCTGCTCTATGTTGATGATATTGTTCTAACCGCCTCCTCAGCTAGGTTTCTTCAACATATTGTTGCAGCCCTTCAGCGTGAGTTTGCTATGACCGACATGGGACAGCTCCATCACTTCATTGGTGTCTCCGTCGCCCGCTGCGATGATGGCCTTTTGCTCTCTCAACGACAGTATACTCTGGACATCTTGGAACGCGATGGGGTGAGTGCTTGCAAGCCTTGCAGCACTCCCGTCGACCTGCACTCCAAGTTGTCCGCCGACGGTCCTCCAGTTGCTGACTCTACTCAGTATCACGGTTTGGCTGGTGCACTACAGTATCTAACTTTCACTCGTCCAGATATTGCCTATGCCGTCCAGCAGATATGTCTCTACATGCATGATCCACGTGACCCGCGCCTTGCTACTCTCAAGCAGATACTACGGTACTTACAGGGTACTCTTTTTCTTGGCTTGACTCTGCATCGCTCTCCACCTACAGAGCTTGTTGTTTACATTGATGCGGACTAGGCCGGCTCCCTTGACACTCGCCGTTCGACCTCTGGCTACGCGGTGTTCCTCGATGACAATCTGGTGTCCTGGTCTTCCAAGCATCAGCACATAGTCTCCCGGTCTAGCGTAGAGGCCGAGTATCGAGCCGTGGCCAATGGTGTCGCTGAAGCTACATGACTTCATCAATTACTTGTCGAGCTTCGCCACCATCTTCATCATGCCACCCTGGTTTATTGCCACAACGTCAGTGCTGTCTACCTCTCCACCAATCCGGTACAGCATCAGTGCATGAAGCACGTTGAGATTGATCTCCACTTTGTTCGAGAGCGTGTCGCCCTCAGTCATGTTCGAGTTCTCCATGTCCCTACGACATCCTAGTACGCCGATATCTTCACCAAGGGTCTCCCAACATCTGTATTTCAAGAGTTTCGATCCAATCTTAACGTTCGCCGTGCTCCCGATAAGACTACGGGGGAGTATTAGCATGATGTAAATATAGCAATGGTCGCCCTATACTTGTGCGCTTGGGTGGTTGGCTTGCATGTACTACCCCGACTGCCTATATATGTACCCATACACAATATGGAATACAACAACTCATTCCAATCACTCTTTCAAAAACAGCTCCAGTGAGCGGTATTCCTAGGACTCCGCACATGAAGCAGTTGTGTGGGAGAGCAGTTGGGTGATATGTAGCTCCCAGAGCTGTTTCAGAAGCTATACCAAGCGCTCACTTAGTAGCAAGAGTCATGAACATTAGCTTACAAAGTTGGATGAGATAGGTTCCTTTGGCTCCTTAAAAATAGTGTCGAGTTCACAATAAATTTCATTTATAAACTCCTTGTGAATACATGCATTAAAGTCTCACATGATATTTGGCGTTTAAGTATACCACTCAAAATTACAAATTTTCTATGGTTCGTCAAGAGGGGTTGATTTTAACTATACATAATTTATTAATTAAAGAGGAACAAATCTTGTGTGTCTTGTAATAGGGATGAAACTATTCAACACCTCTTATTCGAGTATCTGTATGCTCGGTTCCTGTGGCGAAGGATACATCTTGTTTTGGGTCTCAAATACCCTTTGAATGTGATGGATATCTTTCATGATTGGCACAAACAAACGGGTAGATCAAATAAGACATTGTTATTGACAGGTGGTCCAGTCAATCGTTGGACATCATGGCTAGTGATATTTGAGTGGGTTTGATTAAATGTGTTGCTCAACATATGTAAAATTGGTCTCATTGTCTTGGTTAAAGGAGATGAAGTCAAATTAATTCACCTTTATCTAAAAAAGAATGGCTTTCAACAACTTTCCCAAATTAACTATATATCCTAAGGTAAGTTTGTTGCATTCATGCTAGGTGCATCTTCTGCTTTATGAGTGCCAAAATGTTTTAGATGCATTTAGTCATCAACTAATGTTCCCCAGGAATTTTGTACGTTTTTCTAGAACCTATTACTATTTTTTCTATAGGAAAATCTAATTTTTTTATGCTCCAAAATTCTTTTTCATGAGCTGTAAATACTTTACTTGGGTTTATGATATTCCAAAATGTGTCCAAGATTTTTTCCCTGAATTTTTGGAGGTTTGGAATAACTTTTTTTTTGTCTTAAACACTACTGGGCTTTTATGAAAAAATTTTAACAAAAAATATTCTAAAAATAATAAAACCTAAATCTATTATAACTCAGCCGCCCAAACCTACATAACTACTACAGATTTCCAATCACTGCCGGTTCAAAAAGTCCATCGGTGCCAGTTTTTTGAACCGGCACAATCATATTGGCAGTGATGAGGGGGCTCATCAGTACCGATTTTAGAAGCGGCAGTGATTTGGTTTCCATAAAACCTAAAAAAAACAAATTGAAAAATAGGCATTTTTTTAATACTAGGAGGGACCCACTGGATAGCCACACATCACGCAATTTTTCGCGCGGAAAACGAGAGCTTCATGGCCACCGGCGCTCGAATCCCCAACCTTCTGCATCACGTGTCCGTCGCCTAACCACTCCATATGTAAGACGCTTGTGTCCATATGGGATATTTGTTCTCCCCATTTTATGCCACTCTGGTTTGAAATGAATATTTAGGATCCTAAACGAATTTAAATAAAAAAATTGTAAACTACAAAGTTTTATAACTTTTTAAGATCTACAATTTTGGTTTTGGTCATTTATCCATCCGAGGTCATTCGAAGAATTTGAATTTCAAATGTGAGAAAATTCAATCATAATTTTTCTTGGATAGATGATTTCAAATGAAAAAGTTATCAACTACGAAGTTGCACAACTTTGAATATCTACAACTTTTGTATTGGGCGTTTCTTCATCCGAGGTTGTTTGAAAAATTCGAATTTTGAATTTGAGTAAACAAACGTAATTTTCGTTAGATAGATGATTTAAAATAAAAAAGTTGTCAACTGCAAAGTCGTATAACTTTTCGAGATCTACAACTTTTGTCTTGGTCATTTCTTGATTTGAGATTCTTAAATACCACGACACTCTCACTTATGACAATGGGACATATGGCTTTAGTTGATATTAACTTCTATGAAATCATGCGAATCAAATAGAGGGACATCATAACGACTTCAAATAAAAACTTGTGAACTACAATGTTGCATAACATTTAGAGATCTACAACTTTTGCTTTGGTCACTTCTCCATCAAAGATCCTTAACTACCACTACACACTCACTTATGACTATAAATATATGGAATTCTTTGATATTAACTCTATAAAATCTTGTGGTGTATATTTAGACTTCCAAACTATCTCAAATCAAAAAGTTTTAACTACAAAGTTGTAGATCTCGTTGAATACTACAACTTTGGCATAAAGTTTGTCTTCATCAGACATCATATGAGAAAGTTATGAAATTTTTTATGCAGCATATCACTGGCGGTTCGTGACTTGAACCGGCAGTGATGATCTAATATCATTGCTGGTTCTTGGCTAAAATCGACAGTGATATGAACCGGCAGTGATGACCCGAATATCAGTATCTGTTGGTTTTATCACTGTCGGTACTGAAAGTCAATTCTATAGTAGTGATATATATACATCATTACATTCATCTTGACGTGCTCGTTCCAGATGAGGTCTCCAACGAATTTAAACTATACCAGATGGGTTGCTGACACGTGCTTCTTCCGTGTCATCCACGAGCGTACCTGTGGCGACGACGACGACGAAGAGTGGGAGGAGGAGCAGGAGGACGACGACGCTGAGGCTGTGCTCAAGGTGGAGTTTCGCAAGAAGAATGACAGTTTTTTCTCGTGATGTCGTGGCACACATGCATGCTAACTTTTTATTGAAGATGGACCTCGTTACGAATTTACTGTACATGTACCCAATCAATTTATTCCTCGATATGTCGTATTTGTATATTTTATTTATTAAACAACTTAATATATTGGGCACCAATTACCAACTTAACTGCCAGCAGTGTTTTGTATGCCCAACCAAAAAACTGTTTGATTGGACTATGGGCCCCTTCCGTGAAAAGAGGTGTTGCGATGTAGTGAATTTTTTGGCCACTGAATAATTAATTTTAATTAAAAAAGTTTTAGCTACAAAGTTTTAAAGCTCGTCAAGCACTACTACTTTGGTATAAATCGTGTCTCCATCCGAGATAGTTTGGAAGTTTCAAAAATTCAAATCTCAAAAATATGAGAACTTAAAGCAAATATTTGAGGCTCTAGCTAACTTCAAATAAAGAACTTATCAACCACAAACTTGTAGATTGGGTCAACCACTACAACTTTGGCATTAACTATGTGAACATTCTAGGTCGTTTGTAAATTCTAAATTTAAAATTTCAAAATCTAGAAAATTTCAACATATACTTGGACTCTAACCAACTTAAAATAAAATAAAAACTTGTCAAATAGAATGTCGATTTGAGAAGTGCAAATTTGGTATGTCCATGTCAACATCCGAGGTTCCAAATAAAAACTTATCAACTACAAAGTTGTAAATCACATCAAAATCTACAAATTTGATATAAAGTTCATCTTCATCTTAGTTCATATGAAAAAGTTACAAGTTATCTTTATGCAACTATTTCTATTGGCGACTGACGAGTTTTTCCTAAAATCCTATTTGTAGTAGTGTAGTAATGTTTAGATTGTGGTCTGCCATTCAGTCGAGATCTATCCTCTGCAAACAAAAAATAAACGCAAAGCAAGATACTTTTGACTTGTTTTTTTTTTTGAACAAACAGGAGGGGCAGGGAGCCCCTACTGAAAATATATTAAAGAAAACAAAGGTTCAGTACAAAAGAGATGAGCTAGGGGCTAGGGGCAGCCATTAGGGAACTAAAAAGGGAAGAAGAAGAAGAGGAAAATAGAATACACTCGAGCTCTCTTATTTAGTCTAAGCTTAATCCATATTCCTGAATTTTTTGGGAAGTATTTCTTCTTTGCCCTGCACAGCAAAAACTCAAATTCAATTTTGAAGATAGACTTGTTGACATGGTATGGTATTGTCATACAATGGTAGGGCATCCTTTGCTCCAATATATGTTAACTGGGATTAGATAACATTTGCCACAACAAGAGGAATCTATCTCTGGGGAAATTAATTAAACCGGGCCACCGCCTCGATCAGATCCCTCTGTTCCCTATGGTCACGTGTAATCACGTGGGAAGCAACACAAAACAACGTTTGAGACAGATGCATGGCCACATGGGATCGCAGCTCAAGACCTGAAGCGCGCAACGAAGCACCCAATTATTGTATGCCATCTTGCTTGTCGTTCGTCCCAAACGAGTCTTGTGCAGTATTGTGTACATTGTCCTAGTATATTGTATCCCAGTCCCCCATACAAAGGACTCGCATACAAATAAAGGGAACCGAAAATATTGCGACTGAAGAGGTGGTTTTCTGAGAAACTGCGGGCAGTTACAGAGGGTTTGCATAGTTCGATCTATCAAACCCTGAGCTTCATTTGCAGATCTAGCATTTGGAACCACGCACTCAGTGGCGCCAGTACTCCAGGCACACCTGCCCTCCCTTCGCCATTGCTTTCACCCAAGCTTGCACTTCCACGGCCCGGCGCTCCTGCATGCTTTCACTTCTGTACCTGCCACTTCTCATCTCCAACAAGGTTTGGCTTCAGTTTGAAGGAAAACTTGGCCGGACAGCAACATTCCTGTCGTTCTCGATCTCTCTCCTGCTGGCTTCGTACGCCGTATATATGGTATGGATCACACTCTCTTCCTTCTTGTTCTTGATTCGGTTTGCACTCCAAAGAAAACTGCACCGTGTAAAACAAGTGGAGCTTCTGTTCAATTCATTGAATCTGGGCACACTGAAGAAAAAGAAAGCGGATCTACAAGTCGTCAACATCGACTACTAGAATTGTCACTCGTGATGGATAAAGAAAAACATCTAAATATGTTGCTTTCGTTGTTTTCTTTCAGGACTAGAAATAAGACTACACACGCACTGTCAAAGTGAGAGCCAGCAAAGAAAGGAAAGGCATGGTTATCTATGGAGGCTGCCGTGGTGACCGCATCGCATGGAGCTATGGGCTCCCTGATAGCAAAGCTTGGTGATTTGCTCACAGCTGAGTACAAGCTGCTCAAAGAAGCTAAGGGGCAGATCTTGTTCCTCAAAGCTGAGCTTGAGAGCATGCATAGGTTCCTAAAGAAGATCTCAGATACAGAACAGCCTGATGAACAGGACAAGTGCTGGGCCAAGGAGGTACGTGAGCTGTCTTATGACATCGAAGATAGTATCAGTGAGTTCATGCTCCGTGTGGAACGCAATTCAAGCAGCAAGCCACGCGGATTCATGGGTTTCATAAATAGGAGCACGAAGTTGTTGACAACCATGAACATTCGGCATGACATCGCCAAAGAGTTTGAAGGCCTTAAGGTCCGTGTTGTGCAGGCGCAGGAGCGGCGCAAGAGGTACCAGAAGACTGATGGTGTTACCTCTAAGTCAGTCAACACAATCATTGATATTCGGTTGTTAGCAATGTACGCAGAAGCATCAGGCCTTGTTGGTATGGATGGCCCCAGGGATGAACTAATTCAGTTGATGGGTGGAGAGAATGAGCTAAAGGTGCTCTCTATAGTTGGATTTGGAGGCCTAGGAAAAACTACCCTTGCAAATGAGGTTTATTGCAAGCTTCAGGGTGAGTTTCAGTGCCGTGCCTTTGTGTCTGTGTCCCAAAAAACAAACATCAGGAAGCTTCGGAACTATGCTATCTCAAGTTGGCTTTGTAGCTCCTATGGACACCAACATGGAATTGTGGGAAGGAATCTGAATTCATTAGTGTGCTCCGAAAATTTCTTCTAAAACAGAGGTATGCCGCCTAGAAATAATTGTATGCTTAGTAAGGTTTGTTTGCGATTTAGTTTGCTCTAATTTGATGTCATTCTTATTTAGCATGCTAGTATTATGTAATCAACAACTAAACATGTTGATTTGTCTGTATTTTTTCTTTTCACCTTGTTTTCTTATGATTGACTAGTTTATGCGTGTCCCTATTGTATTCTTATATCCTGGTTAATGTATGTTTATAGTGAGGATGCTTTTACGCTATCCTAATGGTTTGCTATACTCCATATGCTTTTATATATGTCAGGTACTTAATCATAATTGATGACATCTGGGAGGCTTTTGCATGGGATATCATCAGATGTGCTCTTCCAGAGAGCATTAATGGTAGCAGAGTATTAATAACTACTCGAATTGAAACTGTGGCTAGAGGATGCTGCACTAAGAACATTGAATGTGTTTACAAGATGAAGGCACTTAGTGACCAGGACTCAAGGAGTTTATTCTTCAAAAGAATTTTTGGTTCAGAGGATGGTTGCCCTCCATATTTGAAGGAAGTATCTGCTCAAATTTTGAAAAAATGTGGTGGTTTACCACTTGCAATCATCACAACATCTAGCCTAATAGCCAGTCAGCCAAGCAAACTAAAGGAGAACTGGGAACATGTAAGGGACAGGCTGGGCTCCAACTTTGAAATGAGCCCTAGCTTGGAAAGCATGAGACAGATACTGAATCTCAGCTATATAAATCTTCCTCATTATTTGAAGACTTGCATGCTATATTTAGGTATTTATCCCAAGGACTACACAATTGAAAAGAATGATTTGACAAGGCGATGGATAGCTGAAGGTTTTATATGTAAAGTTCGTGGGATGGATCTTGAGGATATTGCAAAGAGCTATTTTAATGAGCTTATTAATAGGAGTTTGATTCAGCCTGCAGATACAAACTGCAATGGTGAGGTGATGTCTTGCAAGGTACATGATATGATGCTTGATCTTATCCTCCATAAATCCCAAGAAGAGAATTTTGTCACTGTAATAGATGATATACAAGACATGACAGGACAACAAGACAAGGTTCATCGACTCTCTCTCAACCTGGGTGGTACAGTAGGTGATAGGGTTGCAGGATGTGTCCAGCTATCCCAAACAAGAACACTGGCAATATTTGGAACCTCTTCATATTTACCTCCTTTTCAACTGTTCAAGTATCTCCGTGTTCTCGGAATTGAAATTACAGTACAGTCCCATCCACCATTGTTACTAGACTTTACTGAGATACATCATCTACTTCAGTTGAGATATTTAAAGATTGTAGCAAAAGGTCATGAGGTGGTGTTACCTAGTAAAATTGGGAGTATGCAGCAATTGGAAACATTTGAAATCAATGCTACTATAAAATTGTCTAGGGCACAATCATTTCGTGAACTACCATCGGATATAGTTCATTTGAGCCGGTTATCGATCTGATTATTCCATATGACATAATATTGCCAAACGGGATCGATAACATGAAATCCTTTCGTACTCTACACTACTTCAATTTACGTAACTCACCAAACAGTATCAAGGGTCTGGGGGAACTGACCAATTTGACCAATCTTAAAATCATATGTAATTTTGGTGAAAAGGCAAATGGTGAGATAGTGGAGAAAGGCAGGGAAGTTCTGCAGACTTGCCTTGGAAAGATTTGCAGCCTCAAATATCTATATATGAAAATTTATTGTGACAACAATCTCTACATTGATGCGTTGAGTTCAACACCGCTTCTTTCCGTCATCTCCAGATATTCAATGGACACAAGTTCTCAAGGGTTCCTGGATGGATCATCCAACTCCATAACCTCTATGACCTGCGTCTTTTTGTTAAGCAAGTGCTTGAGGAAGATGTTGGAATTCTTGCACGGCTGCCCTCAGTTATCAACCTGGAGATAAGATCATCATCCATGGATATCATGCCTGGCCTTTGTGGCAGGGGCAATGCCCAAGCTTGAAATTAAGCTCGAGCTACGTTTTAATGCCAGGGGGTGGGATAGGTATGGCGCTGCACCTACTGGAACCGAGCACCTGTCAAGCCTCAGGGAAATCTACGTATGTATTGGGGGCGCGGATGCCAGGGAATCCAACAGAAGAGCTGCAGAGTCCGCGTTGAGGAACGCCATAGACATGCACCCAGGTGGACGTGTAGCCAACATCAAGTATGATGCCGATTTACAGTGGCTATTTGAGGACTCAAGGCCTCGTTTAGATGGTGAAAAAAAGTGAACCCGATAAATAGTACCACTTTCGTCATATTTGACAAATATTGTCCAATCGTGGACCAACTAGGCTCAAAAGATTCATCTTGTGATTTTCAACTAAACTGTGTAATTAGTTTTTTTTTTTAGCTATATTTAATAATCCATGCAAACGGTTAAAAATTAATGTGATGGAGAGAGAGTAAAAAAATTTAGAATTTGGATGACATCTAAACAAGGCCCAACAATTAAAGATGATGAGCGGGAGGAGGATGATGATGTGAGCAACGGCGGCACTTGAAAGACGAATGCAAGCTGGTATGTAACGCTTTCATCCCACTTCATTAATTACGATACGAGCATGCACGTGGCAAAAGCAATTAGTGCTACTATATAAGCTAGCTAGACGTAAATATTACGAGTAGCATGCCTGTATATCAGGTCTTGTTTAGATCATCTCTAAATTCTAGGTTTTTTCACTTTTTTTTCATCACATTAATTTTTGGACGCATGTATAGAGCATTAAATATAGGTAAAAAAATAACTAATCGCACAGTTTAGTTGTAAATTACGAGACGAATCTTTTGAGCCTAGTTAGTCCATGATCGGACAAAGTTTGTCAAATACAAACAAAACGTGTTACAGTGTCCAGATTACAAAAATTTACAATCTAAACAAGGCCCTACCAGCTAACAGGCCGTGCTTTTTGGTTGTTGTGGACTGGACAGGGTGTCTTAACTGGCTGACGTGCATCCATTTTGTTTTGTACTGAGGCACCAGGCGTCCAGGCACGTAGCGGATTTAGGAGTTTCCCGGGCTTTCACCACCACCAGCCTGCCTCCTCCTCCTCCATTGGCTCCGAGCCTCCGACCTGACCTTTGTATTTGTTTCTCATCGTCATGCATTGACTTTGACTCCCACCAGTATTTCATGGTGTGGGCTTGTTGAGTCAGCGGCTCATTTGCTTTGTAATAATATATGGATGCTCAAAGTGAACACGTACGACCGTACGTTTCATTTGTGAGTGCCGAGCAGGCTGTTCATTTGTTGACACTTTTAGCCTGTTCGCTGGTTGGTTTCTGGGCTGGTTTGGGCTGGCTAGTGCTGGTTTTCTGTGAGAGGAAAACACCGTTGGCTTGTTGATTTGAGCTGGCTAAAAACAACAAGCGAACTGTTTGTTAAATTTATTTATTTATTTTTCAGACTTGATAATCCTGTAGACGCATGCTGTTGGTTCTTAAGAGCATCAGCAGTGTGGGGGTCGAGGCTGGTTCGATGCCATGAATGCGCGCCTCGTACCTAGGTCGATACACTGCGAGGATGAGTCGATAGACCCGAGTTCTTTGTATCGAACCTGCTCCCAGCGAAAAAAGAAATGCAACGAAAGAAACGAACGGTTGAGAGATGATGACTTTTCCCCACCGCGGGTCCCATCTATCGATCCGGGCTGGGTTCTACACACTGTGGCTAGTTTCTCTAACGTACCTGCAGCATCACCTGAGGTGTGGCGTGGGATTGTTGAGGTGGAACCATGCATCTGCCAGCTCATTTTATTTCTTGTAATAATAATCATCATATATATGGATTGTAAATGTACCGATTCATGCTTCTCTCTTGGTTATTGCTACGTTATGCTATGCTAGTAAAATTATTAGCTAGTTGAACTTTATACCTCTGTTTGTGAGAATGCTCTATTTTTCTGTCAAGAATGCTTCGTTACATTGGTGGGCTAGCTAGGCCTATTCCTGGCCCTGATTGTCGCCTAAGCTGTCCGCTTCTTGGATTATATATACTTAATACACTATTTCAAAAGTTAAATCATGCCACATCACTAATCCCAGTTAAGTAACAGATCAAGCACATAAATCAGCTGGAAGCTCGACGCACCTCACGGGAATCTGACTGACTGCTGAGATATACATGCATGCACCAGGATCAAAGACATGATCACATTCGAGTCATCAAAGACAAAGAAAACCACAAGTCTTCAAAGCAAGCAAAACCAGCCGACCTTTGGTGATTACTCAGTTTGCAGAAAGAGTTACCATCAATCAACTAACATGGTAGATAGATTCGAGTTTTGGCGAATTTCGTACATTTGAGTGAAGTGCCCGGTCGTTACAATGTAGCATCCATTATAGCAAAATGCACCAACGACAAGGCGCGCAGGGCAAGTCAGCAAAACATATATAGTCAGGTGAAGAGGAAATTCTCCTAAGAAGCCATCCGCTCCCCCCCGCTAGTCCCGCGCGGTGGCCACTCCGGCCCTGGCGTCCACCTTCCAAAACGCCGGTGGTCACTCCGGCATCGCCGTCCACCTCCCAGACAACGCCAGCTGCCCTTCGGCTCTGCCATCCACCTTCCCCCCTCTCCCACAGCAGCTCCTCCGCGTCTTCCTGGGATGTCGTCCCCAAGTTCCCCAGGTGGGGGTCGCCGCTGCCACCCTCCGCGTCAGCGGCCAGGAGTCGGCCTCGTCCCCCGCCTGCATATTCCTCGTGAGGGTGCGCCTATCGAAAAGGATGGCTTCACCCTCGTCCAGAGCCGCCGTCGCTGGCGAAGGCGCGCGCCGCCCAAGCCACGCGGCCCGGTGCTGCCGGCTCTTGTGTGGGGTTCTGCTTCAACTGCCTCGACGGAGGCCACGTAAAGGCAGACTGCTCGTGCAAGCGCGGCCGCTCGCCTGGGCACCAAGCCGCATTCCGGCCCAGGGAGCGCCCAAGCCGTCGTCTTCGGCGTCACGCGGTTCGGGGATCGTCGGCTTCTGCTGACACGGTGTCCGGGAGTGCTCCACTGGCCGGGAGACATCGGTGCCGCCGGTGTGCAGTGAGCACTTCGGCTCGCCACACCGCACACCATCATCGCCGCGTGATCCGACCCTGCCACGTCGCTCTCCGTCCCCGCCGCGTGGACCGACACCGCCAATGTCGCCACTGGGCACGCCGCCTCCTCCAGGCCACCACTCCTGCCGCCCAGGGTTGGAGATCGTCGTTATCCCCCGGTCTGTGGAGCTCCAGGCAGCCGATGACGCTCTCTCGTCTCTGGCGCTTGTGGCCCTGGTTGGTGGCAGCCGCCCCACGGTCACGATCGCGGATGTGCGCCACCAGCTCACTTTGTTCTACAGAATCCCGGACGACGCGTTCTCCATCAGTTGCTATGCGCCGGAGGACTTCCTCGTCAAGTTCAACTCTCGCCACGATCTGGAGGACGTTCTGCGCGGTCCGGTTCCGATCGGGACACCCTTCTTCCTGGTCTGGAAGCGCTGGTGGCGCCAGTCCAGGGCGTCCGCCGGAGCTCTCAAGTACAAGGTGCTCGTCGGCTTGTCCGGGCTGCCTGCCCATGTACAGCGCATACTGGGGTCATCCTGTGCGAAGCTCGAGGAGGCTCCGGTGACCACCACCGGAGAGGACCGGCGGGAGTACGTCGTTGCTGGGTGGTGCGTCCACCCGACTTCATCCCCATGGAGAAGGTGATCATGGTCCCGAAAACCCCAGCTGTCGTTCGTCGTGGGATTGTTGAGCTGGATTACTGGAACCATTCATTTTCTTGTAATCATATGGATTGTGAACGTACCCGTTCATGCTTTTCTCTTAGCTACTACATTATGCTACTATAAAATTACAACTAGTTGAAACAAGTATACTCTGCTTCCAGTAAAACTTCATAGCCCTGTGAGAAAGATCTTTTCTGCCAAAAATGCTCGGTTATATTGGTGGGGCTAGCTTGCTACTGCTGGCCCTGGTTTTCCCCTGGCCGGCTGTCCGCGTTTTGGGCTAAGTATACTCTGCTATATATTTGAAAAAAAAAATCATATCATCACTAATACACTACAGTTCCCTATTAAGTAACAGGTCAAGCACAGAAATCAGCTGGAAGCTCATCACGACTCACGACCATCTGGCCGACTGATTGCTCAGTAATACATGCATATGCACCAGGATTGGAGTCATCAAAGACAAAAAAAAACCGCAAGTCTTCAAAGCTAGCTTCTCGATCTCCAACGTAACTGAAGCAAATAAACCCCAATTTATCAAAAGCAAGCAAGACCAGGAGAGCTAGCTATAACTACTTACATTACAGAAAGAGTACATTATATAGTAGGTTTGAGTTTTGGTAAATTTCATAATTTTGAGTGAAGAACTCGGCCGTACATGTAGCATCCATTATACACTGGGAATTAGTACAGACAAATGAGCCAACAAGGCAATTAGGAAATTTGTTCCTTGTCTTGTCTTTGTTCCATTCCAGTTAAGAGATTAAGAATCAGAGATTTTTTGTAAAATACATACCAATTAGGAAATTTGGTATAAGAAAGTAGCACAAAGTTTGCAATGCTGAATCTCGTTCAAGGAATTTAACTCCCCCAAACACAAAAGATGGATATTATTGTTGTTCCTTGTCTTGTCTTTGTTCCATTCCAGTTAAGAGATTTTTTGTAAAATACATACGAATTAGGAAATTTGGTATAAGAAAGTAGCACAACATCTTAATTTCTCATAAAAACAACATCAGTCAGAAGTAATTTACCAAAGTACCAACTCATGAGGAAAGAATTTATAAGGAATCAAAGAAATTACACTACAAACTCGGTAAGATAAGCTAACATAGAAAATTCTACGGCGTGGCTAGCGCCCGGACGTCCAGTGCAGCCCGCCCCAGTCCGCCGTCGCCCCACCCTTGTCCGGCTTCACCCTACCCCACGCGCGCACTCCGCCCCCATATCTGCGCCCGCCGGTCATTCCCCAGATCCGCTCCTCTCTCTCCGCGCGGGCAGCACTCGAGAGCCAGGACACGGCGTGGCCCAGACCGGAGCCCCCGTCCGCCCGCCCCCAGCGCCCCCCCCTCCCGGCGCGCCACGAGCATGGTCCGCCTTACCCCTGGCTCGCCCCTAGCCGAACAACATAAAACACTTGCAACATGAAATTTTTTTGAATGCAACATACGTCTGAAAACAGATGAAACACTTGGAACTCGCACTTGCAACATATGTGTGGAACACATAAAACATCCAAAAAATAACACTTGCAACTTGCAACATGAAACCACCTGCTGCAACATAGGACTGAAACAGCTAAAACATTTTGGAACATACTGTTGCAACATTTGTGTGAAACATATGCAACATCCAGATAAAAAACAATTGCAACATACGTCTAGAAATAGATGAAATATTTTGAACAAATGCTTGCAACATGCATCTGAAAACACTGCAACATATGCAACATGTGCAATATCCCACGATCTACTTTTGCAACATCAAAATGGAACAACTGCATCATACATCTGAAACGTCGGAAACAATTGAAACATACATATTCAACATAGTGGAGGGGAAGGCCGACGTTGGTCGATTCCAGCAGCCGGGTAGAAGCCGACAGTGAGCAGCAGCATGCGAGCCCCACCGCCACCAGCAACAGGCTTGGCTCTGCCGGGAGGGCGCACTAGCACCAATGGCGTGCGCGCACACCACAACCACCGTACCAGCGTCGGTCTTGGCTCGTCGGCCGGGCGGGCGGCGCGCGCGACTGGCGGAGCGAGCACCACCATCACCAGAGCGCGCGCACGATGGGAAGGGGCAAGAAGCGCCCGCGGTGGGGGCGAGCGAGCGGCGCTAGATGGGGCGTGCAGCAGCAGTGAGGCAGAGTGGCATCCGTGTTCAGGACAAGGGACGGACGGAGTGGCAGACGCAAGGCGTTGTGGTGGAGAGAAGGGAGCGGAAGGGATAAGAAGGTTTTTTTTTCTTTTTTTTAGAACGGTTGGGGGCGAGGGAGGGTGGATGAGCGTTCGTTGGGCTATGTCATGGCCCACCATCGGCACCGTCCGGGCGGACGGACGCCCGCGGACGGACGCCCTATACCTAGCATTACCGAAAAATCTATAAAGAAACTAAGCTAGTTCGTCAAGAACAGCTTGCAACACTTTCAGGTTATACCAGGATGAGTTTAAGATACTACTGCAGTTTTTGTACCTGCACGGCTAATGAGCACAATGCAGTGAATCAATGACTGAATGGTTGAATCTGCCAACTATTGTTTCAGCTATTTGTGGTACTAGCACAAGATGAATGATGTCGGTATTTTGCTATCCTGGAATAATTTCAGTAGCGAAATAGGAAGGTTAAAAAACTACAGAGAGGTGTTAAAATGAAACAGATGAGATTGCTACTGATATAACAACCCCAATTACAATAATTTATGCAGAGTTGATTCATGAAAGCATAAACAGAGTTCATTTATGCAGCGAATCAAGAACATACAAAAGGGTTGCATTTGTCATGAACTATTTTACCAGCGGGTCTGATGCAATGCACATGCACCAACAATTTATTCAGCAAAGGGATTCCAGCTCCAGAGCCTCCTAGCCTGCAGCAGCTTAAACTCTCCACCAGTATTCAGTTCAGCAGAAGACCAAATGTGACTCACATTATGTGAGGAAGTCACAATAAATAAATCAAAAGAAAATTGGCATCACGCAACAACATGTGACATGTGAAGTGTCCACATTCCATCCGACTACGCCCTGCCGGCCGGCGCTGGGTCGCCGTAGTTAGTAGATTCGGGCGGCGCCGATCGATCGATTCTATCCCGTGGAAGAAGAAAGAAAGGAACGAAACGGCGCCGCCGCCGCTCGCAATCTGCAGGAGGGAGAAACGGAACCTGTCCACCGGACCACCGCCCGACAGTGCAAAACAAAGCACGATTAGCCGCCCGCCCGCGGATGCAATGCAATCACACAGAACGTACGTGTAGCCGCCTGCCCTGAACGTCCCAGGGCCTCGGTGATCCCCTGACGGCGACGTCGGGATCCCGGCATTTCGCTTTCCCAGTCTCGCTCGTCCCGGCGCCATCCAGTTGCCTGGTTGCCGTTGTACGTGCCGGCGGGCGGATCCGTGGGCGGGGCGTGGGCGGGCCGTTGTACGATTAGCGCGTACAGATTGCGTGCGTGGGCTTCAGCCCATTAGCTGAGAACTGGTTTGAGCCTACAAGGGCTTTGGAGTTGGAGGGGAGCCTGGTCGCACGTTGGGCCTTGTGTGGCCTTCCAGGCCCACATGTGGAAAGCAGCAGCCACCTGCGTTTGTCGAGGTGTTTTCTAGTTGCTCTTTTTGTAGTTTGCACTATTGCATTGGGAGGTATCAGGGGCCATAGGAACCTAGTTTGTGTGTACTCATAATAATGCCTTGCACCTAATTGAGTAGCATATAATAAATTAGAAATGATTAATCATGGCGAACCATGGATTACAATTGCTTTGGAAAACCAAGCCAAGAGGATTGACACGGACATTGACGTAAACTAGCCAATTTTTTTAGAGCAACTAAGACAGATGATCGCCGGCCTGAACTTATCATTTAAAATGTGGCAAACTGTGGATTTCAAAACAGACGTACACCCAAGACATGCATAGAGGACAAAACTAGGAAGAAAACATACAAGGTCACTCTTGCACAAAGAAGACAAAAGCTGAAGGACAAACACCAAATGATGACTAGCACTACCGCAACAACACCACTCGTTCTCCATAAGAGGGACCACTCAACGAAATAGCAACTAGGACTAGGAATAGGGGATGCGCACAAGAGAAAGCTCATTGAAAACGACGACCTTTCGTCAAGCTGATGGCAACAGCTTTCCCAACACATGGATCCGGGCTCCACATACTGCCACCCAATACCTAACGTATCGATCCATGTGTGTTTGGAGTAGATTGGGTGGAAATTAACTAATTTTCACACTAATCCACTCCAACAAACGTGGATTCAAGTGAATACATGTGTATCTATACAAGCCCTCCATGGAATGAAAGTCCTAAACACCAATGACTGAAGAGAGCTCAACCAACATGTGATTTGATGGAATCGTACGTAAACAAGTCAATCGTCAATACAGCCAAGGCGCTAGCTAGCAGACGACCCCCACTGAAACACAGAAGCCAGCAAGCAATGACGGCAATGTCCAAGAAGGTGGACGCCTGGCAGCCAGACGACGGAACGGAACCTGCGATTTCGTTGGCGTTTGGTTGGGTACCTTTGCCAAGTGCGTCCTAATGTCCATTGGTAGGACATTATTTATCGCTCTAGTTGAAGTGCTTAATTAAGAATGCTTTTGTGCTGGAATGGCACAGATTGAAAATGGTTCATCACCGTGTTTAGAACTACTCTATCTAACAGTAAATTAAAGCAAAGCAAGACAAGTGACATCGATATGCACCTGCCAGAACTTTGGCACCACTTGTTTGGGTTCGTGCAAAAAGCTGGAGTTGTTTTTAAGCAATCGATAATAATATGTGTCTCTCGTCCGCGTCAGATGTAGCTTTGCAGTTGTTCCCATATCGCCTAACTGCTCCGTTTTACTTGTATGGCCTCTTCCTAGGACAACAAGGTTCGTTCAATACCTACTCTATTTAATATGGGCATCGTACCAATCTCTGACGCAATATGTACAAATCATATCATCAAACACATATATGTCAATTG